ACTGAGCGTCCCACCCATGGACGAGGTAAAAAGGTGTCTCTTTCCTCGTTGTGTCCATTGAGTTGTTGATTGCAAAGATCAACTTCTCGGCAATTTCATCCCAGTCTTGTTGCAGTGGGTCTTCCGCGTACACTCGCACTGATTGCATTACAGTCTTGACCGAGCGCTCTTGCTGGCCATTGGCTTGGGGCCGGTAACTCAACGTTGCCCTAGACCTCGATTGCATCATTTCGGTGAACAATTGGAACACCTCCCTCATGAATCGAGGGTCTCTGTCATGTCTGATGAGAGAGGGCGCACCGAACCGCCGGTACACACATTTTTCAAAAGCTTGGGCTACTCTCAGATCAGTCGTGTCTGTCATAGCGTTGCACCCCGTGAATGCGCATTGGAATAGTAAGAGCGCTGTGCTACCCCGCCGAGACTTCGGTAAGGGTATTACAAAATTCATCGAAACAACCTGAAACGGCCGTTCCTCTAGTATGTTCCCCGGAGAGTATCCGCGAATCTTAGGTCGACTTTTGCTTGAGCTACAGTCGGGACAGAACCGATCCAGTAATAATCCAACTTCACTCTGTAGAAAGTCCGAGCGATCCCTTGATCCCTTGATGAACTCCTTCTAACGAGTCGCGACAATTCTGCAGTACCTCTTGAATCATCGTTGAGGGTACTACCAGACGCAGCATCGCTGTTGGTCACTTCTCAGAGGCCTCGTTCCCACGTAATAGAGCACATTGTCCTCTCTTAGGACGAAGTGATCGGACATTTTCCACGCGTCTCTCGCTGAACGGTACGTTAGGGTAGATTCTTCCCCGCGGAGAACTATCTTCAAATTCGCCCACCGCAACTCCTCGTCCTTTGCAGTCGCGATTCTTCTTCCGCGTTCTCTTTGGACCGTTACGGGGTCCACGACTTCCGCGTCAGGCGACGCGGGGTATTACGGTTGGGTGCCGTTACTCTTGAGAACTCTACTTCCAGACGGACCGAGTCCTCTGTTGGCACACCGTTGTCTTCCTCTCGTTGGGTTACATCTTCTCCACCTGTCACCGAGGTTTCGTCGGCAAATCTGACGTGTTTGGGCTTCGACTTAGCTTGGAGCCTGGTCGTTACCGTTAGATCCCTAGGTCCCTTCGCACAAAATCGAAGAATTGTTTTCGACTCGGCTCCGGGACAGTTACGGATCGCCATGACGGTCTCATGTGTCGCAAATGTCGCGTCTGAACTTGTGCTTGTGCAATGCTAACCGAGGGTTCGTCCGCCAAGGACTCGGTGATGGGTGCATAGATGACCTCTTGGATGCGGTTCAGTGACCTCAACTCTGCTAGCCTAAGCTCGTCAGATATAACGCTTGACGCCTTGTTTTCCAATGCTTCCGTTGCTAACGATTCGGCCGACGCATTGTACTCTCGTACAGCGTGTAGGTACTTGACTGACTGTAGTCGTGCAACGAGTTCTCGGTGGCGGTTGAGTTGGGTCCTTCTTACACGCAATCACCCCAAGTGACTGTTGGATTGCTAGTCTCGAATCACCAACAATGACAAGGTCGGTGGCACGGATGTCTAGTACCGCCGGAACCCCGTTGTTCATGCCCGAATACTCGGCCATGTTCACTGTTGTTGATTCGAGATAGGCACTCGCAGCGGTGACTATTGTCCAGTGAGGTGGTCGCCAGACGATCTATGAGCAACTACCGTAGCCACCGTATTTCTCGTTTTGGCCGATCCGTCAAACGAGACCACGAGACCACTGTAGGATCGGGGTAATCGAGCATAGAGCAACTGGGGTCCATGCGGACGGTAGAAGATCCCTTCGTGGGCGGTGTAACCGTCGCGAACGAGTCTTCCAGATCCACGAAACTCGTTAGCCCAGCTTGTAAGAGCTGGGCGAAAGCGCAATCCCTTTCTTTGACTCTGGTGATTACCAGGTGCCACGGAGACAGCATCACAGCGAATTGGGTCGTCCGTCCGAACAGAGACTTCGATGTGTGTACCCACTCCAATGTTGAGAACCGAGTATACACATGAATGGTGCGGTCCGCCAGCTGTGTGTAGCATGTCTTCAGCAACAATAGCAAGGCTAGCACTTCCTTCTCAGCCGGGTGATAATGCATCTCGGCTTCTTTCAAAACACGTCCGCAAAAACGGACCAGGTGCATCTTGTCATCATGTTCTTGCATGACTTAACGCCCACTCATACGCTAATAATGTCACGTGTATATCATTCTGTCGGTCGAAATGATGCAGGATCGGGGCGTCACCGATTTTCTGTTGAAATCTAGCAAAACTCTGTCAGGCGACTGACAAATCACCGCCCGGTTCGAAGTCCTCTTCCTTCAGCTGGTACAAC